TCGACTGGATTTTCAGGAATCGATCTGCTACCAGGAGGTCCACTTATCGACCTAGAATACGCAGATGACATAGTAGTGTTTGGAGATGTTGATAAAATGCAGAGTCTTTTGATAGGGCACAGCAACAATACCAGGATGTTTGTGATGTGCTTCTCCCCCTCTAAATGCAAGCTGTTGCTTCAAGACTGGCCTGCGTCAACGCCTGAACTAAGGATAGGGAGTGAATTAATCGAACGTGTTGACAACTTCACTTATCTTGGAAGTCCGATCAACCTTGATAGGTTGGTGTCTGAGGAATTCTGTGCACGGATTCGAAAAGCTCGTTTGGCTTTTGCCAACTTACGTCAACTATGGCGAAGGCGAGATATCCGTCTATCAACTAAGGGACGAGTATACTGCGCGGCAGTTCGTTCTGTTCTACTTTACAGCTGCGAAACGTGGCCTTTAAGAGTAGAAGACACTCGTGAACTACTAGTATTTGACCACATATGTCTTAGAAGTATTGCTGGGATCACCGGGTAAGTAATAGTGAGGCTGGACGCAGTTTATTGGGGCGTGATGGTAAATCAGTTGATGAGGTTGTGAATCTTCATGGACTGAGATGGTTGGGCCACGTGTTGTGTATGCCTGGACACCGATTACCACGACGCGCAATAATGACTAGTGTTGAGGATGGTTGGAAGGAAGTTAGGAGCGGCTAGACCAAAACGTAGCATCAGTGCTTGACGTCAATAACTTCTAGTCTGAGTCATGTTAGTAGATGCGAACTACTCGTTTGGGGTCCGCTTGACTATCGTAACCAATGGTTGGAGACTCTGTGTGACATGGCTCAGAATCGATCACAATGGCGTTAGTGTATATACTCTCTGTCTTCCCTTGAACAATGAGATTAAAATTGCTCCATAGTTTTCTTTCTACCAACTAATTCTTTCTTCCTGTACTATAACCTTATATGCAATCTTTCTTTCATATATTACCATCATTGAATTAACTACTTTAATGTATTTGGTGTTCATCTTGTTGTGCTAATCAGGCATAGCAGCTTGGACCAATGCATATATGTGCCTGGTCCTACGTTTAAGCTGACTGACTGATTGTTTTCAAGCACTACTTTTTCAATTATGTTAGGATAATTCTTGTTGGTCAACGATTGCTGAATTATCATAGGTTTTTCCATCAGTCAAGGATTTTGGTGAAAACTTTGTAAGACTAATAATAAGTGCATAACAACTCCATCTATGACTACTGTTCCTCCTACACCAGAGTAAAGGAGAAGGTTTAGTTGTTCGGTTAGTAAGCTTACCTCTCAAAAAGGAATTCTATTTTACGGTAATATATGTGTTGCTACGTTTAAACACATGATTCTCATTTTGCTAATAGCGATCTATCAGTCATAAACGAATGTTCATTGACCAAAGTTTACACTAGTACCGGAAAAGAAAATCTACAAGAAGCTAAAGGAAAAGTACTTGAAAAGATTATATCTATTATTGTTGAGTCGTAAACTTCAAAAATACAACTGAGTGAGGATGAATATGAATGGTACAAATTATCCAGATTTAAATCATCGAAAGAATGAATGAATACATCTGTCTCGACAAACAATCCCGAAGACACTCATTCAGTATCTCCAACCATATACAGGAATGGTCGTGCAGACCATAACCAGGAATTCTAAATTATCTCATAGGTCTCAGACCGACAGCCAAAAACTTCACGGTCTGATCGCTCCTTGAGACCTTCTACACTGATTCTATACTGGACACCATCCTATATCAATATAAATGACGACTGATGAATTTGTTATTCTTGCCAAGCCACCCCAGTAGTGTGACAACCAACTATCGTATACTTGTCCGAGTAATTAAGAAAGATCAATCCAGATAACCATTATACACCTTGCCTATCATGCTGAAGTTGACCTTAATTTGTAGTTATCAAAAATTGAATAATTCCTGAAAAAACAAATTATTTGTTATATTTGATGAAGTTCACTACTGTTAATTGAAACTATAAACAAAACTTCTTAATGTTGACGAGACGTTTGTTTTGTTTTAAAAAATGTCAGGACGAAAATATTTATTTGAAATAGCGTAGATTACAAATAGTGTTTTTCAGTTCATTACACTAGTGTACATTGGAAAAGATGTTTGCTGTGATGAAATCAATTGGTAAAACTATACTTATTTTCATTCATTAACAATTATAAACTTAATAATGTCAAATAAATACATTTTAGCACATGACGGTCAATACTATAAAAATACACTTCAAATGATATTCCTAGACAACTTCGAATATGGAATAATCGAATAGAGAGAAAATGAGTGACAAAAAACGACACCATTGTATACAAGGGAATCATGTCTTTCTATGTCTAACGGATAAACATTTCAAAATATACACGTATTGTGTATCTGGTATGTTGATGGACGCATTTAAGTAGGACTCACTATTTATGGGAGATTTTTAATTTTAAACACCATGAATTGACAACAGTTGGAAAACAGTTGTAGATAGGAGAGCAGTAGACGGTTTTTTCGATTTTATTTGGAACGCGTCAATATAACCCTCAGCTTGTACTCTTCTGATCTTACGGTGAGCATAACGCCGTTTAACTACTGCATTGTAAACTAATAGTCCGTATTTTTCTAACGCAGTGTTAAATTAGTAAACGTATTGCGAATCTTTGTTTAACCTGATTTAAAACTAAATAAAAACTATAGTCAGAGTTTCATTCCCGCAAGTTTTCTCATAGATGAATATCTTGTTATATCTTATATCTAATTTTGAGGCTAAGTTAGTCAATCATACTGAATACCACGTGATAATACTTTATGCTACGATTCTCCTCCAGTTCATATTTTCTACTGTCTATACGGAACTGTAATATTTTGGGGATATTCAATGATTTGAAACTAAGTATGTTATTAGTAGAAGTACATTCACAATGTCCTAATAATAAAAGCTACTAAGGTGACTAAAATGAAACTTGTTTTTACTTTTATTGCAAAAAGTTGCTAAGGATATAAACGATCGTTCTATAGTATCAGTCTATTATCAGCGTCAGCTTATCTAAATATTATGACTGCAAGAAAAATAACTTATCTAGTTAAATTTTAAAGATAAATTTATTCTAATAGTTTCACAGTACTTCGGCGCCGAGTTAATGTGAGACATTAAAGAGGAAGAAAAAATCTTGGACCAGATTGCCAGGCGCAACGTTGGATTTACTTCAAAATTCATTCGCTGAGATTTTACAAATACATTCTTCCTCTTTAATATAAATTTATTCTGTTTTTGCATAGTGCGTCTAAAGCATTTCATGTATTGACTGGATAACCGTTTAAAGGTAAGGACCACATAACACGTGTTTTTTTTACGTTTGGAACACATATTCACAGTTCCACATGGATTACAACTCAATATACTCAGATTGCACGAGAATCAAAATATCTTTAAACTAATGAGTCCAAATCCTATGGTTTACAGCGCTAACCTCAATCTATTCGCCACTTATTGTGACAACCATCCACTGTTATCAGTGACAATTGCTTCACCTCCTACATAGTTGTTTTCACTGAATAATTTCGACCAATGACGAAACGAATCACCAGTGGTCCTTCATTTTAAAAAGCTTTTTCAGTTGATACCAGTCTCTAATGAAAAATGTGCTTGACTAAGTCTACCTAAATGATTCATCTAGACGAAAAACACCCTGGTGTCATTACACAATAACTTGGTAACGGTACAGTGATAGTATTTTATACTCAGTTATTTTCAATTTAATACCAACAAATAGAAATTGAAGAAAAAAATTTATAACAGTGACAAAACTAACATAACCGATAACCGATATTTTGTGTAACAGTAACAAAATAGAAGCAAAAAACAACAAAACTTTAAACCAAGTCGAATGAAATGTTACATAAAATCAAAACACTGCTGATTATATTTATAGTAAAGGTAATATGTGCATACTATCATTGGAATATAAACTTAATTATGCACCATGTTTTAGGCAAACCATCGTTTTTTAAAATTAGTCTAAATGGGAACTTTGGTAAAGAGTCAAAGATATGACGTAAAAATGAGTCTGTTATCGTAAAACAAAGTTACGTATTCAAAATTTTGTGTCATCTTAAGGAATAGTTACCATTTCAACACAACTTGTGAACTTTATTTATTTAATTTACATCTTATAAAACAACAAAGCAGATGAATATCTGGAGTTTGTTCACTTTAACTGAGGCAGTTCCTTGGCTTTAAGGACTTTATAAGAATCATTTCATTCAAATCAATATTTAATATATATATTTCCTGGTATTAAATAGTTTATACTAATTAATAGTCATGAAAGCTATTTGTTTGCTCTCCCTGGGAATTAAAAACGATCTTTAGAATTAAATTTATTCGTTGATTTAATTTAGAGTCTATATTACTGAATATGTCTATTGATGTGAAAATGTTAATCAAAATATAACAATTGGACAATACATGATAAAAAATGACGTTTTTCCACATTGAATGTCTTGATATTTTAAATTTATTTTAATCAGTGGTTATGCTGTTATTGCTCAGTATCAACAGGTAAAAATTAGATGTTCATAAAATGCTACGATTCAGTGGTCACTTTACATTCGTCGACTACTCTATCACTAATCAACATTATAGACTTGTTGAATTGAATCTAAACTCATTTAAATAGCTAAGACAGAATAGAAATGGAAATCATTAAACTACTTGTCAATTGTTTCATTCTAACTTGGTATTATTCAACAGTCAGAAATTTTCATTTTATTGAGAGCCTAAATTTTACAAACATAGTGCTAATTAATAATAATAACAGTAATAATAATACAAGAGAAAACACCGTTCGACAACATGATGATAAGTTGGAAAAATAAATCATCTTTAACTTAATCATATAAAAAACAATACACACTTATACACATGTAAGAATAATCAAAAATAGATGTAACTAAATAGAAGTAACTTACTTATCAGTCATCCAGTCATTAAGTGCTTGTGTATTTTGTAGATAACTATCTCTTGAAATTGCTGTACTTACTAGATCATTCAATGATACTTTTAGATGTTCATCTAACTGTGTAATTAAATTCAATCGAAATTGCTCAGCTAAATCACACCAGACAACATCATGTACAAATTTATGCTTATCATTATCTGGACTACTGGAATTAGTTTGTTCCGTTATTTTAAACTCTTTCAATTGTAAATTTAAATTATTCAATGATTGTGTTGATGCGGTTTTCATATTTTTCTCATCATGACGTCGACGAATATTCATCTCATCAACTAAAGATTCTTGCATCCCTTTTCGATCAGAATAAAATTTTGCTTTTTCACAATAGTAAACAATATTGGAATTCCTTTCAATGATTATATTGATTTCATAAATCAATGTGCCTTTCTGTAATTATTCTTTGATAATTACTGTTTGCTTTTTTGAGAAAAATATATTATAAATGTAAACACTAAAGAGATAATACAGTTAATCTATAGTTTATTTAATTTATATCTATGATTGTATACATCAGTTGAACTTTACTCTGTCCATTAGTATATATATATATATATATATATATATATATATATATATATATATATATATATATATATATATATATATATATAAATCTATACATACACTTTATAACTATTATGATTACTGTAATTATTATGTGAATGGTGATGAAATTGGAAAACGTGATTGGTCATATTATTCATCTAACTGATGACGTATAAAATTCACTTAATTTTTTATTTAATTTGGTTTACATTAAAAAATATTATTACTATTATAGTCGATAGATTTTATGTAGATACATTTAATTTGTCTGTTTCTACATAATAGATTGATATCAGTTAGAGTGTCCCTTCAACTTAGAGAGTATATGACGTCTTTTATTCTGGTTTATGATTCCTAAGGAAAATTCATCCACAACACCCTCAATGATTAAATGTAGAACTGTCAGGTCCGGCGACAAGTGTTTAACCTTAAGAACACTGAGTTTAAATCCACCGATCCATATCTGTGACTTTGACAAGTTCATAATGATTATTTGTTTCTGTAATCGCTGGATGCCAAGTAAAGTCATTAGTAAGTACATGATAATTGGTTGACCATAACATTATATCCCCACTCAATTGAAATTGGATATTTTTAGCTATTCTATTCCAGATCAGGTTTCTCTATGTTAAGTACCTGCCCCGAGAACTAAACATCTTCCGTTCAGACTCTAACAGATTGCATGTGGTTACCACTGAAGAGCCTGAAACCGGGACAAAACAATATTCAAGTGGTCATAGCTCTCGTTAATGCCACAACTAATGACCAATCAATGACAGAAACCACATACTTATCAATATCAAGAAAAGATAGTTAAGCTATGATTGAACTTTTCTTGGCTGATTACTATCCTACAAGAGTTTCATTTATAAATCTGTAGCAAGAGAATAATTAACACAAATAAGTGGACAAATATTCTGCTAGCAAAGGTATACTATTTTTCAGAAAACGTTTACAGATTCAACATTTTATTAGGATGTAAATGGCGAATACTTTGTCCGAAAACCATTCTAACTGAATATCATCCTACTCAGCTTGTGATGATAAGAATTACTTAAATAGCAAGGAAATATGATACGTTTCTAGATGATCACGTTTACTAAAGATGAGATTGAGACAAATCATGAAACATCTAGAAAAAACCAGTATATTGGATGAATAGATAAATGATCTCCAATGTTAGAAATAATAAAGGTGACTGGTGTAGCAGAAAATGTAACCAATAAAACAGACCAACACCTGGACATTTTTTCATTTGGGAGATATAAAGATGATAGTAAAAATAATAGATGAATGTATAGACGCTTGTTAGCTATCCAGCTAGGCAATGAGTGTACATGAAAATAAAACTAGAGTAAAGGTGGCAAAAACGTATTACAAAGTGAACAAATAAAGGATCAAAGATTACTTGTAGTGTTGAATATATATTTTGTTCAGATTTCGTATATTTTCAACATTAGTTTCATAATGAAACAACATTACCTGGATGACGACTGGAAATTAGGAAGTTATAGTTAATTACTATATATTAGCTTTACAGTAGATCTCTCGAATTTTCTTCACGAAGCTGTGACCTATGGAACTTTGAGCTGTAAAATAAATCAACTGTGTTCGAAAATCTGAACCACTAGATTTCAAAATGGTAACCAAATTTTATCCTTCTGGCCGCCAGATCTGAAAATCTCAGCTTCGACCCTGTGTGAGGTCACTGACGCAGACTCCTGAAGAGTCATATACGAGAACGAGACATCTGACTACTTCTCCTTGGCTGTCTAAATGGTGCAGTTCCATGAGTAAATTAACCTTGGTATGCATCCTCTAATCTATTCAAATCGCATCTGTTCTGTTCGTGCTATTTACATACATCTAACAACTAACTTTTGGTAAAAGGAATAATTACCTTTAAACCCCTTGGACAAGATTTATTAAGGTTTTTTGATCACCTGCTAAACATTTCATGTTAAAAGCATTCAGTTTAAAACAATCACGACGAATTTTAACCATCTGTCAGCCAATCAGAAAACAGCTCTTATAAATAAATAGTTCGTGAGAAATGAACAATACTATAAAAAAGGATAAAATGATTTTACAAGAATGATGAATATATCAATGTCTTCTATATATTGTTTTGTTTGTAAATTGAAAAAATAAGAAAATATATAGTCCGACTAAAAAATCCGCATCACATTAAAATGCTGACATATGAACGTAGAATATTCTTTACAATAACATCTCTTCAGGTTCTACAGTTGTGTATTCAAATTAATAATTCCAAAAGTGGCCATGTTTAAGGATAATACATTGTTTAAAATTATAACAAGTAAATTTAAGATTGTTCTTCAAATAAAATAACATTAATAATGTTGAAATGACTAAAATATGCAGTGTTAACTTGAACAAGCCCATACGTTAAATAAAATTATGGAATTAATTATCTGTATAGATATAGGTAACATAAATTAGGAGAAATAATAATGCAATCACAAATCAAATCAAATGTTTAGTCGAAGATTATATCGTATATAAAGTTATATGAATTCAGTATGAAATAATAAAGCGGGTTGAGTGCTAATTAAACTACTCATATGTTCGGAAGATTAATAGTAATACTGAACCAGTAATAATAATACAAAGATATTTGATTAAAAATAACTAAGACAATAATAGTAAGTATCCACAATTCCGGATGCGAAATCGAATCCGAGACCTTTGGTCTAGAAGTTAAGCATTCGCTCACGAGACTGAAGATCTTGCGTTCGATTTCTGCGTCCGGGATCGTTGATGTCCACTCCAGAGGAGTCCCATACTAGGAAGTAAAGGCCGTCTAGTGCTTACGCGTTTTCAATGGTGATCTAGCATTGATAGGTTCATGATCATAATTAATACTTTATTTTTTACCTTTAGTGGCCCAGCTAAGATCAGTTCGTGATTTCAACTATGAATATACTATAATCTCCACAAAACCCCTACTCTCAAGACAACAATACTTGACTAAGAAATTGCTGAACCGACGCATTATTGAAAATCACCGATTTATGCTAGCACTATTACTAGTTTGCACTAAACAGTCTATAATTTTATAAAACATATTTTGTCTTAAACCTACCAGTTTTTAGATTATTAATTTGAATATGAAACTGTATGACGTGAAGATAATGCATTGAATAGAATATTTTTGTTCACAAATCAGTGTGTTACAAATAAACTAGTCCATATGAGTTTAAATGTTAAGTCTTCTCTAAATTCATAGGGACCCAAACAAATTTGGATGAGTTCAAATATTGCTTATAATTAGGGTTACGGGTTAAACATTAGAGTATAGGTTAGGATTATGATTTAAACACATTTGAGCGTTTTATACAATCTACATGTAAAGTATTAAGCATCTGATAAGTCTAACACCTTTTTTATTCTATGTCAAAAACTCATTTTACATTATCATTTCAGACATTCTAAAGACCATATAGCAGTGCTTTTATTACACGTGTGTTAAGCGATTTAATATAATTGCCATTCACTTTCGAATTTAGAACAAAATCGGGAAAGTACTTTTTTATATTTCTAAGGAACACATTGCGTCTGGAATTGGAAGCAGTCATGTAAAGAATGAATAGCAACTGGAAATGGTTGCATAGGACAGACGTCGGAGGAGAATCCTGGTGGTCGGCCAATCATCCTCTGCGAGGAGTAACAAGCGTCAGTAAGTAAGTACTTTTTATATTCTGATTGACTCGTTTCCATATTTTACGTCTACCACTTGTTCTATTCAGTGACTTGTGGCTGAAATATCTAATTGAATCATGAATGTGGTAAAACCTCATAAAACCCATTCTTCTCATTCATAAAATATTATCCGATAATCCTTAAATTACGTAAAGAAGTGCATAACCAATGATTACTTATCGACCAGAAAACAACGTAGAATATACTGCTGATAATGCATAAACAGCACAAATCCTATATAAATTCTGCTTCAAAGCGAATTTATGAAAATTATGGAAAACTTTTAAGTTATATTTTTACAGCCGTAATTTTATCAGGTTTATGCAATAACTAACTACCTTAATCTTGACTGATTACTTAATTAGACATTACAACTTAATGGAACTCTAAATTTAGAATGATCAGCTGTAAAGTTATTAACTATTGGTATTGGATATAGAAGTTATGCTAGTCTTACAATTTGTACTGTATCCTCAACATCAAACATACTAAAAGCTACAAACCAACACCCACTAAGATTGACTTTGAATCTTAACTTTCTTACCAAAACCGAAAACTAGGTAATTTATCTTGTCAGGCTTCCAGGTTGACAGAGTGTATCCACCAAAGCATTATGTGGATTTATTCTACTATAGTAAATAGACTGTCACCAATTTAATCTTGACTTCAAACAAAAATTTAATAACTATGATTTCGTTATTAAATAAGAAAAATATGTATATATTAAAGATGAATATTATTATTTGTGCGTAGGATTTCTGTGAAATACGGCTGTCATTAGCATTAAGCATTAAAAGTTAAAATAAGACACAGCTAAAGAGTATTCACTGAATAAACTCATCACTGCTAATGTGATGGTTTGTTCGGTTTCATTTTTAATAAATATACACTAAGTAAGTAAAGTGATCATTAAAGGTTAATTTGTATGATACAATCGGTCATACACAGCAATAAATGCAGGTAAAGACAGCCAATATAGCTGCAGCCCTTACATCAGTAGACCTCAATATTCAAAACGGGAAAAGTACAATCACGAAGTTCTGGAACAGGTGGAAAGTTATACGTATCTGGACAACATCACCGATAAACGAGGAGGATCTGACGCAGATGTAAAGGCATAGATTGGTGAAGCAAACATTGTATGTCGCTTTGCTAATATAGTTAGATAAAGAAATTGATTCACTAGCGCTGTTGCGAATAAAGTTAACAGTTAAAAAGGGACTTCATATCCATTCAAAATAGCCGATATTCATT